CAGATTTTGAACATGTGTTCACATTTACAATATTTTATGAATATAGTAGTTAAGTTAGGATATACATGGCGATGGTTTTTCCACTATTGTAATGGACTCTCGATACAGGTGTAACGTTTAGATGAGTCATGTCCAATAATTGATCAAATATACACCATGCACTTAAGTCATCTTTAATCGGTTTCTTTTTCTTGTACTCGTTGATTTTCAATAGTACAATCTTCTTGTTATTTAATTATAGAAGTAACAAGCTGCTTAACTCTTGTTTTGTTTTTTTTTTTAGCTTCATTTTTATCAGAAAATCCCTGCACTTTAAATCGTGAATCATAAATGTACATAATGACAAATGTGCCACTCTGTTCTATCCCTCTAAATCTTTTGCTAAACTGATATTAGTAATTGTACTACGTCGGATACTATAATTTTATGGCAAGATTCTTGAAGGCAGCGTACATAACAATCACTGAACTACCCTTCAAATATTTTTGGTCACTCATTGTAATTGTTATTTCTTTAAACGGCCGTAAAATTTGGGAAAGCTGAGAACAAATATTCCAGTGTTTCTTTATTTAGATTTGGTCTAAGTCTGTATTATTTAATACCGATGTGGAACGAATTGCCTCTTCTAACTCGATCATTTTTTTAACATGTAGTAGGTGAAGTTCTACTAGTTTCCACGTCTTGGATTGGCCGTTTGGGAAACTTTGTTATGTTGTAATTAATACTTTAAAAGCCTTTCTGAAGATAAGGTACTTTTTTTAAAATGTGTTTTTTGCAGAATTGTTGAAAATAGGACTTTTTTATTTTATCTTTTATTAAATCAGTTTTGACATAACATTCCTGAAGTAATGAACCTGACAGTTTTTCTTGTTGGCAGTTTATATCCAGGAATCCACCCTGCAAACTTTTTAAAAGCTGGTTCTTCACCTATGGAAAACGGATGAAAACGAGTCTTTGCATAAGTTTAGTAAATCTTGAAAATCAACCAGTACAAGAAAAAGAAACTGATAAAGATGACTTAAGTCCATGGTGTATTTTTGATGAATTAATTGGACGTGACTCATCTAAACACACACCTGTATCGAGATATATAAAAGAAGTCGACATGTATTTGTCTGATGATATATTACCCACAAAAAATTTCGAACGGAGATTGCAACTGTCCATTACCGTATGGAAAAACCAACGTCATGTATATCCTAACTTAACCACTATATTCATAAAATATTGTAGTATTGTAACAAAATCTTTTCCCTGTGAACACATGTTTAAAATCTGGTTTAATTTTAAATAAAAGAAGAACACGGTTAACAAGAAAAGTGGAAAAACTTGTTTTTAAATGTCAATTTAGACGATTCGCGATTTAATAATGTGTAATGTAAATGTAAGTCCTATTTGTATTGTTAATTTATTTTTCAAGTTATAAGAAATATATCCTTCGTTAGGTTCTTTCACTTCCATACTTATACACATAAATGATAATAGCCAATATGTTTGTCTACTCGCTAATTTGAATACTGGTAAACAATCAACTAGTTACAGTTTACGAAAAACGGTTCCGATAAAAATTTAAAAAAAAGAGAGGATCCACCTCTACTTTATTAGGTATAATTAGGATCTGAACCAGAGAATATGTAAAATATCTCTGATCGGAACTATTCGTCTCACGAATAAGCAATGAGTGTTAAAAAATATTTATGGAGGGGAGACCAAGGGGAAATATGATTGTTATATTTGTCTATTCGCTGAAAATATGATTTTATATCTGCGTTAGATATCCTGTTAAATTTTACCATACCGACCATAAACTTTTACCTACACTGTATATATATATATATATATATATATATATATATATATATATATATATATATATATTAATATATATATATATATATATATATATATATAATATATATATATATATAAGGGATAGGAAAATGACCTAATGCGCAGAAGATATAACTTTGAACTATACACAGCATACAATGAACCCGAGATCGAACATCCATAAAGATCGGACGTCTGCGCTGGATGGGCCATGTTGAACGGATGTTGGTGACTGAAACGCCAAAACATATAATGAGGCAAACACTAGTAGGGAGAAGGTCAAAAGGAAAAACCAAGAACAGAACAGAATGGCGGAAAATCCTAGAACAAGCCAGGACCCAGAAAGGGTTGTAGAGCTACTGATGATGATGATGAAGTGAAGATTGGTTTTCTATGATTTACCAATTTAATTGCACACCGATACCTTAACTAGGTGATGAACTAGCCACAGCCAACCTCCACGAGTTTCTTACTAAAGAAAGTCCAAACAATTATCAAAGTAATCGCTCCGTTTTTGGATGCATGTGGCATTTTTATCAATGGGCCACCTCAAACTCCTGCCTCGACATCTACGACGGTCTTAAGTCATTAACAAAAAATCGTCCCAAACATATACAAAAACTCCATACCTTGAAGGGGCACGTAGCCTGAAGCAAGGCTTTACAACTCGTATCCTTCTTCCCCAGATTTTTACTTTTCAGATGTTTCAAGTCCTCTGCCATACAGTCCTTCCATTTTCTCCTCAGGTTTCCTCTATAGTTTTCATCCACATCCAAAGCATCCACTCCTTACCACGATCCTCGTCTCTGAAACCCCCTTACCTACACACCTCTACTAACACCAAACACATCCTCACCAGCATACACTCAATCAACACCGTCACCCATACACTCACTCACCACACTACAACAAACAACACATAACCCACAAGACAAAACACACAACACCAAAAATTAGAGAATTGGGGACATCCCCCCAGACATCTGTCAGCAAAGACCATTATATCCACTTATTAAAGACAAAAATCTAATCCCAGATTTGGGCTAAATAAAAGTCTTCCCAACTAAAAAAACAGCTTCCCTACGAACCACCAATCTTCTAGACCTTAAAAATCCCACGGCAAAACTTCGAAAAATCACCGGAGACAGCGATATTTCCATAAATTCTGCAAAAGCGGAAAAATCAATTATCCGTCCATACAATGGACAACAACACTGGTCTACTGCATGCCCCACGATAGATGTTCTCAAATGACCGAACTGTAATGGAGGTCACCCGACATTTTCAGAAAATTGCCCACACCGAAGAATCAAACATTCTTCTTCCTATGCCCCCGCATTAACGGAGGCGTGCGGCCACATTTCTAAAAGTTTCTCTGTCTTTTGCAACGTAGAATAATTCACTAATCATTCCTCACTATGTGTCCAAGGTAAACAGTCTTGCGTACTTTATTGTTCTAAACAATTTTTTGCCTCGACCCATCCTTCTCAGCACTTCCTCATTAGTGACCCTGGCATCCCATGGAATTCTCAACATTCTCCGGTATATCCAAAGTTCAAAGGCTTCAAGCTTCTTAACTATTTACGTTTTTAACGTCCATGTTTCTAAACCGTACAATAGTTGGGACCAGACGTAACATTCAACAAACCTCAGTCTCAGCGCAGTATTCAGATTTTTGTCACAGAACAATTGCTTCAATTTTAAGAACGCTGCCCTTGCCATTTTCTATTCGTACCCTGATCAGGGTACGAATCGGGGTATCTATGAAGATCAAACCAAAAGACACAAAGCAAACAACCCGTACACACTTCCAAGCAAATCCCCTTGACCTATCCTCGGAATTGAAATCCCTAATCCACTTTACACCCATGATCCTCTTCAATGTCTTCCTGAAAAGAGGAGTCACACAATCCGCTATTTAAATCAAATGTCCAATTCACTGTATGGGTATGCAATATCAACCTCCTCCTACAATTCCATAAACCAAACCTTCACTTAACTCGGCAGATAGACACACAATTCAACACACACATTCATTATTTATATACACTGTGTCCGTAAAGTATGGAACAAATTCTTATAACTCAAATAGAACATTTTGAGAAATAATCCTGAAACAGGTAGATTTTGATTTTAATTTACGCAAATGTAATGTACGCAAAAAGTACATATAAGTTCAAAAAGAAACGTTGAAATACATAAAAAAAGGAACAGAGATACAGTTAACAGCGCCTTCCCCTACCTTCAGCTCCCGAGAGTTTCAAAGCCGACGGATTTTACATACATTTTGAAGCATTGTGGAGGATTCCATTAAAGGGCAATAATTTTAAAATTTAGTAGTTTAAAACTATAATGTATATTCTTTCAAATAGCGCTAATTAAATTTCTTAATTGTTATAAACAAAGGTGTTATGAATTAAATAAAAAAGAGGCTAACTTTGTACCAAATTATTTAAGGACAAACTTTTTTTAATTTAAATTTGTAAAAAAATCAAGCTTTTTAAATATGTAAAAATAATATTTTTACAGTCAATGGTTAAAAAGTTATTCTAATTGTTTATAAGCAAAAAAATCGACAAGTTTTTTGCAAAATTATTTTGCAATATTTAAATTAATTTTCTTAATTTTTTTTTAATGTAAATAATAAAACAAGTCTTTTTTTACCAGAAACAACCCTTACAATTTCTAAAACTGTATAAATTTATGACTTATATTGTTGCAAAAAATGTTAATTTGGGATAAACAAATAAAATAACTTTTAAACAATTGGGACCGATCACTTTGAAATTTAACCCTATTTTATGCACTACAAGATACATCATCCATGAAATATAAATGTTATAACTTTATTTTCAAAAAAGTTATTAACTTTTATAAAAAACCGAAATTTTTTACTTATTTTGCTTATAAGTTATACTACTCAAAACAACTGTCGTTTGCCTGGCCGGACAAGTGTCATGAAAAAATGCTTATTTCACTGGGCTATTTGTTGCATATCTCCGTTTTGTCCAGAGATATCTCTCTTACATATCTCTGGTTTTGTCGCGGTTTTTGTCAACCAATAGAAATAATCAATTATCTTTAAATGTCAGTTGTCTTATCTTGTCAGATGTATTCTGTCATTGGTCATCTCATCTCACTTCAGATTTGTTTGTGGTTAAGTGTCATTGGGGTGTGGTGTACTTGCCGTGTGTACAAGTTTTAACTAAAAACATTTAAAAATGTCTGCAACTCTGAAACCGTATTTAACAGCAGTTCGCCATACATTAACAGCAGCAATGTGTTTAGATAATTTTTCATCTCAAGTGGTTGAACGGCACAATAAACCAGAAGTAGAGGTTACGACTTCAAAAGAATTATTACTCAACCCGGTCGTTATATCTAGAAATGAAAAAGAAAAAGTATTTATAGAAGCATCAGTAAATTCAATCAGAATTAGCATAGCTGTAAAACAAGCAGATGAGATTGAAAAAATTCTGTGTAAGAAATTTATGCGGTTTATGATGATGAGAGCTGAAAACTTCATTGTACTTCGAAGAAAACCAATTGAAGGATACGATATAAGCTTTCTCATTACCAATTTTCATACAGAACAGATGTACAAACATAAGTTAGTAGATTTTGTTATACATTTTATGGAGGAAATTGATAAAGAAATATCTGAAATGAAGTTAGCTGTCAATGCTAGAGCTAGAATTGTTTCTGAAGAATTTTTAAAACGCTTTTAAAAAGTAATGTATGCAGTGCTAAATAGGTGCTAGTAACATTGGTAATATATCAAGACAATGACATTTGAGTAAAAAGTATGAAGAAGTACTGATGTTAAAATAATGATAACAGATAGAGCTCCTTGTAAGAATGTTAGTTTAATCTTTTAGTTTCCAAAGTCTATTGAAGGTTGGAAAAGTGATGATTAAATAAAGACTAATGGTAGGATTTTGTATCATTGTAACATGAGTGTTATTTAAATTGCTGTATTATAACAAAATTAAATATAGTCCATAGTACATCAAAAATATTGTCTGGCTATTAGAAAGATAATGTGAGACCTATTTAATATATCACAATGGCTTGTTATTAACTATTTTTTCCTTTTATTTAATATTCCATTATTAATTGGTTTGTATGTCACTCATTAAAAAAATATTTGTCATAGTATAGTACAATTCGTTTAGTTTTAACCTATGTAAAACTATGTTTTTGTATTCATTTAATTTTCTCTTTCTTCAATATGTTTTTGTCTTAATGAATGCTACTGGATTCTTCCCCATGTACTAATAATACAGCAATATATTTTGCTTTAAGTTGAAGTGTTACAGGGGTATAATATGTCAAATTTTCTTACTAGATCTTGTTTGATTGTGTTCATTAATTATTAATACATAAAAGTCATAAACATTGATTTTTTTGTAATGTTTCTTTTCTTTGTCACAAACAAATTTGTTTTATCATTTTTTATGATGATTGAGAGACCAAGTCAAGAGACCAACATAAAAACTTGATTGGGAATGCAACTAGACCATTCTGAAAATTGTATATCAATAACATATTTTTGCTTCACTGATTTATTGGTTAAGAACTATTTTGTATCATCTCAAATCTGATATGTGTATGAAAAGGCATAAGATGTGAAGGATATCATTTTTAATATTTTTGACATCTTTGTGTTTTATACTGTATTCTATTTAAATATCATTTCTTTGGTAGTTTTTAATTGGTAACTTGAACCAGAAGCATAGCATAAAATAATATTTTACAATGTGTAAATTGTAAAATGTGTTTTACACTACTTACTTAACCTATATTTTGGACCTAAATTTTAGAAAAACAAAATAATAATGCCATAGCTAAAGAGTTTATTGAAATAGTGCTCCTATTTAATTAGCAGATTAAAAAGTAATATCAATCAAATGAATCTGAAATAAAGTTTGTATCTAGTATTTATAAACAAGGAGTTATTATAAAAATGTACCAGAAGGTTTTCAGATAAATAGTAATTAGTTATCTAAGCTCAATTCCTAGCACATTTTCTAAATATATCTAAAACACAGCAGTTTAAAAATTTTGATTTTTAAATTTGTTACCCTGAATATTCCCTAAAAACTATTGATGGATAGAACAAGGAATGACTATCCTTGTTAAAATTGATCATTGTTCAACTTATACACCAAATTTTTCAAAAGTTACTAAAAGATGAAACAGTTGACTAAACAGTTCTTAATCAATATTATTTATTATGTACTCTTCAATTTTCCTAAATACTTAGTATTTATTATGATGGACCTAGATAAGTAAATACAATATGTACAAAAAGTGACTTGTCATGATTTGTCATAAATCATATACTTGGCAGTTGATGAAACAAATAAATACAATGTGCATAAATAACAAATCCTTTTTATTAAAATTTGAAATATATACTTACATAATTGCAACCCTGAGCTGAATGATTTGAGTTTTCCTTTATAATCATACATGTTTAGTGTAATATCTAGTCTGTGTAAAAATGATACATTTGATCTATTGACAAATTGGATTATAGGAATTTAATATCATTATATTTCTATTTCTTGTCATATTTTTTTGTTACATATTGTATTTTCTATTTCTTGTTGTTAATTATTTATATTTTTTGTCATGTTCTACGCTTTATTGTTAGAAGTATATATATTATATATATATATATATATATATATATATATATATATATATATATATATAATATATATATATTATATGCAAGACTAATAATTTATTAAGTGTGTGGTGTATAAATCTATTTCTTTTGCCATTGCTGTAATGCATAATTTTTATATTATTTTTATTAAATATTCTTTTATAACTTAATATTTCATTACATAACCACTAGTTAGAAGAAGGGAATAAACACCAAAATATGGCGAAACTTTTTAACAAAAATATACCTTTTAAGGCAAGACCCATCTGTCCGTGCTAAGTAGGGAATCAACACTTTATAAGTTACTGATATATTCCAACAGGAACTGTGCGATAGTTTTAAGAAGGAAATAAATCACATGATTAATTTCTTTCTTCAAACTTACAGTTGAAGCCCTTTGTCCCATGTTTTTAGCAGCCTATGGCGACATTCTGGAACTAGTGGTGATGAAAATACAATTATGCAGATTATGCAATAAATTGTGCAGATTTTTTAGAGTACTCATACTCTGAAGGAGAAGCTAAAAGAGGACCTGATGATGTATGTAGCCTAATTTGGAAGGCAATCCAGAATATGGTTCTTGCTATAAATGAACTTCATGTGTTCATGCTCATGTTGGTTTTGACTGATCGGTTCGATAAAGTTTATGAGTACTTTCCTGTGCGTGGACATTCATTTTTACAGTGCGATCGAAATTTCAGAACAGCAAAAAGACTTATCAGGAGAAAAGATATAATTTATGTACCAGAGGAATACTGATCTCTACTGAATAATGATCTCTACTGCCAAAACAAGAGGATTTTCGGTAACAAAAATCACCTCAGACGACATATTCGACTTTAAAAATACCTGGAAAAATTATTACAAAAAAACTTCGGTGGACAAAACGTCTACATTTATGATATAAATGTTTCTACTTTTCGGGTAAAAAATTCGGGTAGTGGGGGAGGGGGGTGAAACAAAAAGTGCAGTCTTTGCAACAAAATATATTCTAGGTACAATATAAATAAAAATTGTAAGATTTTTAATGTTTAAAAAGCTTCAGTTCACTGCCAAAGCAAGTCTACCATTTACGTCACGTAGTTAGGACATGGACTAGGCGAAAAGTTGTTCAAATTGTTTTAAACATTTTTTTTAATTGTAACAATCAATTTTTTCGGCCCGGCAATTTTTTTTATTATTCTATACAAGATAGGTGTCTTGTAATTTTTCAGTAAACTTGATCGTTTTCGAGTTGTAAACAATTGAAAACTCAAAAAACGCAAAATTACAATTTTCAAGGCCTAAAAACACAAGTAAAAAATATTTTTGAATTCACCAAGGACCTGAATTTAAGTTTAAACTTTGTACTATCATTTCCAGATAGTTTTTTGGGCTTATTTCATTTTAAAACATTGTTTTTTAATCGTTAATGAAGCGCTTATGATAGGACGGACTCTCGGGATGCGGCGTGCATAAGAAACAAAATTTGTGGCATAAATAAATAAAAAAAAATAAAAGTTTGAGTTCTCATTGTACAAATGAGCGCCCATCCTTCCATACGCGTTTCATTACCAATTAAAAAACAATGTTATAAAATAAGCCCAGAATTCTCATCGGAATCTGATAGCTTAAACTTGAATTTAGGCATTTGATAATTTCAAAAATAATATTTTTTACTCGTGTGTTGAGCCTTGAAAATCGTCATTTTGCGGTTTTTTTAAGTTTTAAATTATTTTTAAGTCGAAAAAGATTAACTTTAGATAAAACTTATAAAAGCCCTTTTTTGTTAATAATGATCCAAAAACTTTTTTTGTCTGGGTGACCTATTGAACCTTATTTTTGGGTATCTCAGGAAAATGATTATGCAAAAAATCTCATGAGAATATTTGTCCAAACGAACCCGAACTGTTTTTTTGTCTAACAGGTCATTTTCGTTCCAACATCGATGAGTTGAGTGTTATCAAGAAGCAGTGATGTTTTCTTTGTTTCGCCATTTTTTAATATATTATGTGCTTTAACAGAGAATATAAAAGTTTCTATAAACCGTGTGTCGAAAACAACGTGGTTTCTTGCTTTTATCAATGACAAGCATGGGCCGATCAGTGGCACAAGCTAAGGCATTGATACGATCCTTGCTTATTTTAGGCTCAGGTGCTGCTAATTCACGACGTGGCGCCAGAGTTTATCGTGGCAAAGCTTTCCAATTGAGACCAGTTTCGTCTGCAATGTAAACGTTTTGGAGGATGTAATTTCTGCTTTTAGTAACTGCCTTAGTTTCATTTAGAGAATTAATCTGCTGCTGATTAATCAGCACAGTTTTTATCCTTATACTTGAAACTGAAAATTTGACAGCTCTCCAGATTTTTCGTTAAATTGAACTGCTTTTTCACACAGAATCAGATTATAAATAGGTTCTCCCCGGAATCTTTTTTGAGTAAACCACTTAAATGCAGGAACATATAAATATGTGTTTGAGGTAAGTTTCATTGTTTGACGACTTGTGGATTCATCAGAAGAATCAAGCTGCTACTTATGTTCGTCTTTTGTCGGGAGTTCGGATAAGCGTTTACATATTTATATGATTAGATCCAATTTTAATCTAATAAGTTTAATATATTTATCGTTTATATAATTGTACCTACTACTTAATTTCTTCTACACAATACTAAATTTATAGTCAATGTTACAAAATTAGAGAGATGTACTAAAGTAGGGGAGTGGTAGGAACACTGAGATGAAAAAATTTCAATGCCAATAACTTTTTTATTAAATGCTACTTTAAACTTATATTGTACAATGATATTTGGTATATAAATAAGAACTGAAAAATCATGTCGTTTTTCTCATAAAAAATTAATGTTAAAACCTCAAAAATATAAAAATTAAAAATTAGTAAATGTCTCACTGTTCCTTTCAATGTGGGAACACTGAGACGTAACAATTAACATTATTTGACGTTAAGACTATCAAAGTTAAATTTAAATTTTAAAAGCGCAATTTTGGCGCTTGGTTAACCCTTGCATTAAAGGGGGCGGCAAATCTGGGACAACTGGAAAGAAGAACCTATTTTCACATTTAGCGCTTTTTCGCAAAAACGATATTTTAAAATCATTTTCTTTTATTTGAGACAAGACTTTGCCTACATAATATGTCTTTTGCTTAGAGTAGAATTCAACGAGCACATAATTCCCATCATTTGGACAGCGATCAAGATCTTCGAAAATAATTGGTTCTGGATCTTCACCAATAAAATCCTCCCCTCCGCTGAAATCTTGTAGTTCCATCTCATTTTCGTCTTGCTCGTCAGAATCACTATCTAATACGCGCCGTGCTACATTTTTTCTGTTTTGGTGTTTTTTCTTTAGATTTAATCAGCTCCATTTTTTCCGGGTATCCGTAGCTATCATCGTCCTTCCTTTGCGTCTATTTGTTGCCCTCTACAGATTTTCTTGTCGGAGCTTTAGGATAACCCTTAAAAACTGTTGGACTAACAAAGGTTTTAGAAGTAGTTAGCAGCAGCTTCAACTGCAACAAGCGGCCTATCTGTCACAAAACTTGACAAAAAATCTTCTTCAGCGAAGACATGCCGATTGAATGGAAATATTCCAGATTTTCGAAAAGCGCTTGCGATGTTAACTGGGCGTCATTGCTCGTGGATATGCTGTGCCCACACAGGCATGCTACGTTGTAAATTGTAAATGTCTGACCGGGATGGTTCATCATCCATGCATCTACTGCAGCATTGTAGAAAGTCTGAAATGGCTTAAATAAACCTACGTCCAACGGCTGTAATCTGTTCGTGCAGTGTCCGAGGGACGAAGAACAGATTCATCCTTCTAGGCACGGACTGCCTAAGCAACTGGGTAGAATTCAGATGCGTTCCAGTCGCAAAGAGTCGGCAGGTGATAGCTTTTCTTTAAGAGGAAGTCTGCAGCCGCTGGGGAAAACCGACCATCATAATCACGGACAATTTACCACAATTTCGGACTGACGCCTGGGAGAAGTTCCTGAGACGCAACAACATAAGAGGAGAGTTCAACCAATATATCACCAAAGAGCGAATCCAGCAGAACGTCGCGTCCAGGAACTCAAAAAAGGCCTAAGAACCCGATGTACGTCAGCCGATGATCCAAGATGGGACTCATATGTACCTGACATCATCTTCAGCATGCGGACTAGACTGAACGAGGTAACCTAGGAGACACCTGCCGAACCCCTACTGGGATATTTACCACGACGTTCGGAAGAAAACCCAACGAGAACGTCGAGACGCCAACTACTGCGGCCAGACGACAAGAAAGAGTAAACCAAGCCGTCCAGAAATCCACAGTGTACGCAAGAAACTACCTTTATTCCTGTATTCCTTGTTCAACATAATCTGTCTTATATGAAAGCTTATCAGCTTTCTACAGACCATTTTGTTGTTGCTATAACAATAACAATAATTAGTTTTTAAAGCTATTAATCTAAATTTAATATGTATTTATAAATACAATTTATAAATATATGTTAAATAAATAAATTGTGTAAGAAATCAAAACATAAACAAAATTGTTACTCTAAAAAAGCAGCAACACTTTATACAATTTTGCCACACGCTGAACTATCATTAAAATTTGAAGTATTCCCGTATCAGTTGCGTACAATTGTTTAATCTATTTAATTAAAATTATTATTTTGTGGAATATTACACTTAAAGAAAGTTATTCCACAAAATTTATATTATTAATAATAACAAAAATTTTTGATTATCTAATCAATATAATTCTAAAATTCCCAATATAATGATTAGTACATTTTGATTATTATACCATGTTGACGCCTATGACAGATCGAACAGTTCCGTATGGGTTTCGTATTATTACCTGTGTTAGGAAAATTTGAACTCTAAAGTTGATGTTCTGGAAATTTTAAATATAAGTGACGTCACTTTATATAAATTGTGACGTGTAAAGTTTTTACTTTGAAAAATGGTATACTTAGATTTTTTATCTAAAACCAATGACGTATTATACGTCATTGTCTAAAACCTTTGATTTGACATGACGGTTGACATTGACAGTTGATTTGATATTTCGAAAATTAAAGACTTTAGAGTAGAGATCCAAAGTTTTTAGCCGAAAAAATGGGTCTTTCTAGCACAATTTATAATTCCATTTTTAAAAGAACGTCAACAATGGCATTAGCTGTTGTTGTTTCTGCATTTTTCTTCGAGCGAACTTTCGATTTAGCAACAGATACCTTGTTTGAAAGATATAATGAAGGGGTATGTATTACATAAGTACTTCTTATAGCTGCAAATGAATACTATACTATAACAATTCTCAAAAATTATAATAAGCACATTTATTGAAAACATTCTAAATAGTTTTGTTTTTCTTTCAGAAATTATGGAAACACATCAAGGCCAAATACGAGGAAGAATAAGTAATAATTATTTTGTGTTAGTATAATTTATTGTAAATAAAAAAACTACCCATTTTTATTTTTTATTATGTACCATTACCTATTTATAGAATCATAATTTACTAAGGTCACTAGAAAATACATCCTGATCACAATTCTATTTATCAAATCATCCTCACATTGAACACATAATAATTTGCAAATTTTCAATTTCAGTTGCATATTTATACAATATACATCTGTTGTAAAATGCTGACAATGTATTTTTATTATGGGTTTAGCACAAATTGGAATAGGTTTTCTTTTATTGATTTTCTTGAGAAGAATTAAATGTATTTTGGTTGACTGCCCTTAATTTTACCCTGAACTATTTTTAATATATCTATACCCCCTGAGCTGTTCAAGTATGGGGCAAACGCCCTAAAAAATACATAATAAAACTTGCATCCATTTGGAGTGAAGGAAAACTCCCAGACAGATGGAATGTAGGCATTATAATACCTATTCACAAGAAAGAGGATCCACTAATATGTGACAACTATCGAGACATTACCCTCCTAAATACGGCTCACAAAGTACTGGCTTATATACTTTATGATCATTTAGTAGTATATACTGAAGAAAAAGTAGGCAAAAACCAATGTGGATTCCGAAAAGAAAGGTCAACAATTGATCAGATTTTCCTTCTCAGACAAACCTTAGAAAAGACATGAATATGGAATTTATACCCATCACCTCTCTATAGAAGCGCACTTTATAATGCCATGGCAGAACTAGATATTTGAACAGAACTGTCAAGTCGAAGATGACTTGAGGAATCTAGGGGTCAGAAATTGGAAAGATAGGGGGAATTGAAACTAATTCTTCAATAGGCCAAGACCCACCCAGGGTTGTAGAGATAAAGATGATGATGATTGGGAATTAACCATATTTTATGTTCAAACAATATAAATTTCATTTTCTGTGCAGATTTTGAAACCTATTTGCTGTCTTATCATTAACTCTAAAAATTATCTGCTGCTTTCATGGAAATATTTAAATATTAAAATGTTCAATTATTAATGTTTTAACACTTTAATCCTAAATAATAAAAATATAGCAAAACTTCGTTTTCTGCTTTCCTCAGGCGAGTTAATTTTTATTCTGTCAAAAGTCTAACCGATTGTTTTATTTCTATCTCCTTAAAAGGCAGACTACTATAGTAAAATATATATATTTTTTTAATATTACTGAGACTCTTCACTGTTTAGATCTGACACTTATTGCACAAAATATGTGTCACATGTAAATCTTTACTAATGTAAACAGTGAAACATTTATGTCAGCGATATATATTTTAACTATCTGCAACTTTTGTCAACACATCCATAATGATAGATGTAAACACTTGTTATGTTCGAAATTGAAACTATCAGACACTTGTTGCAAACAGTTAGATATTACTGTCCTTTTGACACTTGTGTCATGATACAATATTCTCATCTTATTTTGCAATTACTGACTCTAAAAACCCTCAAAATTTGTGAATAATCCACCCACAGTCACCTTCACCATCAAATGGTAGAAAGATTTTTAATTATATATTTAGGGAGTAGTTTAGTTATGTGATATAATTAATAAAATAGATATTTGGAAGTAAAGTATAGTTTTATTGTATACTTAGTTTAAAGGATTTTATTTCTGGGATGTGTAGTGATGTAGTCTAATAGCACAGCTGCCATAGACAGTATACAGTGTAATTTAATAGGAATAAACCATACTTGGTCAAGTCAATTTATTATTTGTCATTTAAAATGTCATCAACTAGCAATATATTAACAGGACTTTGTGAAACAGATTCCAAGTGTATTTTAGAAATAGTTTTTAATTCTGCTTGTGCTTACATAATACTATGAGTTAACACAATATTATGTGTAAATTAATTTACACATAAACAACTTAGTAATTATTGTATGTTTTATTGTTTTTTTTTTTTATTTTAAAATATTTAACAATTAACAATAAAAACTATTCTGTAACTTCCCAAGGTTTTTCTGGTCGTTCTAGATCCCAAGGCATACTTGCTTTAAATTGTGGTTGTTCAGTTAAAGATACACCCCCTTCTT